TGGCTTCCTCCATTCAGAAGGCTATTGCCTCAGCCATGGGAGCTGTCTCTTCAAATTTCTCCCAGTCCCTGCACTCTCTGATTTTACCTGCCATGGCCACCCCTGCCCTCTCCCCTGCTCAGACTGTGCCTGGAGCCCGTAAGGCAAAGGCTAAGTCCAAACATGTCGGCTCCCACTCCTCGATGCAGGTTTTACCTGCCATGACTGACACGCCTGAGGCGGTCTCAGATAGCGCGCACCCCACGCGCAAAAGAGCCCCTGGCCGGGCTAAAAAGGCTAGACTATGGAAAAGGGCTAGAGCCCATGATATTGGGTCGGATACCGACCGGAGTGTGGAGGATGAGTCCGACGCTATGGAGTACGACTCCTTTGATCATGATGATTCTGGCGAGGATTTGCCCCTTACGGGCGTGAACCCCTCCGGGTCCTCCGCCAATACCCGGGGCCCCTCACTTGCTCCCCCGGGGGGTGACACCTCGATCCTTGACCCGCAGGGCAACCCCCTGTTTGACCCAGACGACCTACGTCATCCTCGGTCCGCCGAGTGGGTTCCCCCAGATCACATCGCCCAATATGTGGCTAAGCGTATCCGCACGCCACTTTCTAGGGAAGGCCGCAATAAATTGCGCGCCGAGTGCCCACGCCCGTCCCTCCCGGGCGCGGCTTGCAAAACCCCGGACATTGACCCGCAAATTGCTCAATTCCTGAATAAGTCAGGATGGAAGCCCAAGAAGGGCCTTGACCACTCCCTTAAAAGCTGCCAGGACAAGATCCTGGATACCCTAGGTCCCCTTTCCAAGCTTTACGAGCTTTTGGATGCTGCCAGGACCGGGGACTCCGTCCTGGACGTGGATGTGGCCGTTGGTTGGGTCCAAAGAGCTATTTGCTTACTGGGGAATGCAAATACGGCCATGTCTACAGAAAGACGCAAGGCGATCCTCCTGAAGATCGACCCTAAATTGGCCGCTATGACTGTGGCGGAGCCTGATCCAACTGAGGAGGGTCTCCTGTTTGGCACGTCCTTCGTTAAGGATATGGGTGCTTATGTCAAGACCTTTACGGCTATTGACAAGGCACAGGCGAACATGAAGCGCGTGTTCGCGCCTAAGGTTTTCGGAGGGGCCGGGCGTAGCAGGAACCGTCCACCCGGCCGTGGTTTCCGAGGCGCATTCCGCGCAACCAGAGGTTCCTTCTTTCCCTCGAGAGGATTTCAGGAACAGAGGGCCCCTCCCTTCTTCCCGGCAAGAGGTCGGGCCTGGGGATCCAGATACCCCCGCGGTGGTACCCCCGGCAGACGTCCTTACGGTGAGTACCCTTTCTTCCCCTCACGCTCAAGTTCGGGTGGCGGGGAGACTGGCCTTATTTTGTCAAGAATGGGCAAAGATCACCTCAGATGCTTGGGTTTTACAATGTGTAAGGGGTTTCCGTCTGGAGTTTGTTTCCATGCCTGTCCAGTTTTATTTCCCCAGAGAATTGTCCCTCCCTCAGGATCAGGACGAGATGATTTCCACGGAAGTGGTGGAGATGCTGTCCAAGGGCGCTATAGAGGAGTTGCCGTTCGCCGCCCCAGGCTTTACGAGCAATTTATTCCTAGTGCCCAAGAAAGGAGGCGGAGTTCGCCCTGTCATAAATCTTCGCCCACTCAACGCTTTTCTACGCTACCAACACTTCCAGATGGAAGGTATACACTGCCTCAGGGACCTCCTACGTCAATCGGACTGGTTGGCCAAGCTAGACCTGAAGGACGCATACTTTACGGTCCCCATCGCTTTGGAGTTCCGGGATTATCTCCACTTCACCTGGCATGGGCGTCGTTGGCGCTTCACCTGCCTGCCTTTCGGTCTCTCCTCGGCCCCTTGGTGCTTCACCAAGCTCATGAAGCCCGTGGTGACATTCCTCCGAACCCGGGGGGTTCGCCTCATTATCTACCTGGACGATATCTTGATTTTATCCCAGTCACGAGAGGATCTCCTCACACACCTGGGATGGACGACCGACCTTCTGCAGAAGTTGGGATTTCTGATCAATTGGAGCAAGTCGGTCCTGGTCCCTGCCCAGTCCATAGAGTTTCTGGGTTTTCAAGTAGATTCCATCCAGCAGTTCCTGTTCCTCCCGGATGCCAAGGTGAAAGCCATCCAGAAGGAAATTCGGAGGGCCCTCCGTGTTCCAGATTTGTCGGTCAGACAACTGGTGAGAATTATCGGCCTTCTCGCGGCCTCTATTCAAGCAATTTTCCCAGGCCCCCTGCATTACCGAGCGCTCCAACGGCTCAAGGGATCACGACTTCGCTCCGGTCATTCATACGAATCTCGGATAACATTAGACGAGGAGTCCAGGGACGAACTGGCGTGGTGGTTGGCGCACATAGAGGCATGGAACGGAAGAGCCATCTTCGGTTCTGCCCCGGACGTAGTGATAGAGTCCGATGCCAGCTTACACGGTTGGGGCGCTCGTTGTGGCAACGTCTCCACAGGAGGCAGGTGGTCCGACACAGAGAAGTCGTTACACATCAACTGCCTGGAACTTCTGGCAGGTGCCTTCGCGATCCGCAGCCTTGCTCCGGGGAGGGCGAATTGTTGCGTTCTCCTCAAGATGGACAACGTATCAGCAGTCCGTTACATAAATCACCTAGGGGGCACGAAATCCAAAATGTTGGCGATTCTGGCAAAGGATTTTTGGCAGTTCTGCCTCTACAACAACGTTTCGGTGACAGCGGAACACATCCCAGGTCTGGACAATTCGGGGGCGGATTGGAATTCCAGACACTTACGGGACTCCGGGGACTGGCATCTACATGCTTCAGTGTTCCAGTGCCTGAACAGGTTGTGGGGCCGGTTCCAGTTGGACCTATTCGCGTCACGCCTGAACACTCAGCTACCGAGGTTCTACAGTTGGAGGCCGGACCCGGCTGCAATAGCGACAGATGCCTTCCTCCAGGAATGGCCACCGGGTCTGATGTACGCCTTTCCCCCATTCAACATGATCGCACGCACGATCTCGAAACTGGTCCGCCACGATTGTCGGATGGCTTTGATCACCCCTCTATGGAGGTCTCGACCATGGTTCCCTCGGCTGATGGAACTGTCCATAGACTACCCTCGTTTACTTCCGGTATTCCAAGACCTCCTTCTGGATCCGGATGGGAACTCTCACGACCTGGTGTTGCAGCATCAGCTACCCCTCATAGCATGGTTCCTTTCAGGGGACCTTGGGTTATCCCAGACGTTTCGCAGTCAACTCTCCGACTCCTCGATAACGCCTGGGCCCCGGGTACACGGACAGCTTACCGACATTCATGGAGATCATGGTCTGGTTGGTGCATGGAACGGGCAATGGATCCCGTATCTGCCCCTCTGCCTTTGATTCTGGAGTTCCTCACGTTCCTATTTGATTCGGGCAAGGCATACCGCACGATCAACCTTTTCCGCTCAGCTATCTCAGCCGGTCACGAAGGTCTAGACGGTTCTCCGGTCGGCAAGCATCCTTTTGTCTGTCGACTTCTCAAGGGTATTCGCCTTGCTCGTCCTCCTCGACCTCGTTTTGCCGCCTTTTGGGACGTCAACGTGATGCTACAGTTCCTATCATCATGGTACCCCAATTTGGAGCTGACTCTCAAGCAATTGTCTGCCAAATTGGTTATGTTACTGTGCCTGATTTCTTGCAGAAGAGTCTCTGACGTTCGGGCCCTGGACTGGGACGCCGTTGCATTCACCCCAGAAGGCGTCACCTTTGACATTTCCAGGAGGACCAAGTCTGCATCTAAGTCACTTACATACCCTAGGTTTTCAGACTGTCCAGCGCTCTGCCCGGTGGATTGCATCAAGGACTATCTGGATGTTACACGTCCCCTTCGCATGACAGACCTGCACGATCTGTTCATATCCTTTAAATCGCCTCACCGGCCGGTTTCGACTCCTACTCTAGCACGTTGGGTGCGCTGGCTGCTATCCTCCGCGGGTATAGACACCTCAGTATTTACGCCTCATTCTGTCAGGGGCGCGATGGCCTCGAAAGCCTCTTCAGTCGGATGTCGCCTAGAGGACATTATGCGAGCGGCGGATTGGTCTCGGGAATCGACCTTCCGAACCTTCTACTTCAGGCCAATTGAGCACATCGCATCTCGTGTGGTGGCACAGCTTTGAACTTGCATAATATGAGCCTCCGTGTCTTTAATAAAATTCCCAGATTTTACTAGTAACATGACGTAAAGTCATGATTTTATTAAAGACACGGAGGCGAGTATTATTCCCTCCCACCCTCCCGGAGTGGAGTTGGGGTACGAGATGCTTGGTGGCTCTACAGGTATGTCTTTTCAGTTCGATCTGTATCCTATCAATTGATTTGCATCTTTTGTACGGGTTGTTGTACCTTTATGCTGTGTACTAATTCTGTTGTTTTTATATTTCAGTACTCTGTTTTACCTGTGTCTCCCCAAGACTATGTTTGGTAGGTTTGCAGTTCTGAATTAAGAAATTACCATATTTCTCTATCTTTTTTAGCTTGAAATTGTCACATCGTTTTCCCGTTACCCTGTTTCGGCCAAGTGGGACATCGTTCATCTTACCTGGTCTTCGGTTCGCAAGAAAGAGGGGGATTGTGGGAGATACAAGACTTATATAGCTACTTCCTATACCCTGTGATTGGCTACCTGTTGTGCCTATACAGTTTTTTCTTCAGTTTTGATAATATTTATATTTCTCTTTCTTTGCTGCTGAGGAAATAAAGAAAGAGTTATGCATAATACTCGCCTCCGTGTCTTTAATAAAATCATGACTTTACGTCATGTTACTAGTAAAATCTGGGAATTGTAATTAACAAAATGACCTAATTATATAAAAATATTACATATATATATATATATATATACGTAGAATTAATATATATATATATATATATATAAAAAAAGTTTTTAAAATTGTTTTTATTTATATATAGGTATATATATAGTGATATACGTATATACTTATGTATATATATATATATATATTAATTCATCCTACGTGTATTTTGATATCTCTCTCTCTCTCTCTCTCTATATATATATATATATATATAGAGAGAGAGAGAGAGAGAGAGAGAGAGAGAGATCAAAATACACTATTGTAATTATTTACTTTTTGTTATTACTATTTTTTACGTATTTACATATTTATTTATTTTATATTATATAAAAATATATATAATTATATATTTTTAATCAATACCATTCTAAGTGTATTTTGATATTAATATATATAATATATATATTAATATTAAAATACACTTAGTGTGTGTATGTATGTGTATGTGTATATATATACTTAGATCATATGTATAATATATATATATATATATATATATATATGATCTAAGAATATATTATTGAATTAAAAACAATTTTGAACTTTATTCCCCCTGCTGGCACTGCTATGGACGGCTATTCCGTCCAAGTGATCGTGAGGTCCTCGCAAGGACCTTGTGATTACAAGGCCCAGGAGGGCCGGATCGGCAGTAGGTTGACTTCCTGGGAGGCCAGGCAAGTCCCCCCATCGCGATCACCTGCGTGGGATCGCCGGAAAACAGGTAAGTCCCTTGGCTTAGCACGCCCACAGTTCTTAAGGGTTTAAATAGCACCTAACACAATTTGCGTGGCTTTCAAACTTTACCATATTCTGAGAAATAATAATTACATGCAGGTTACACTTACTCTTTGCACTACATTAGTTTACTCAAGTCTATTAAGATCAGCCATTCTTACATCTGTTTCTGCAGTTGAACAAACATGAACACAACCCCCTCACCCCCCCAACCTTCCCCCAAACAAAACAGTTGGAAAACATTTGCAATTGTACCACAAACAGTGCACCTATTTCCCTCTTTATTCCAAAACGCCAATCAGATGTCTCACTGGTGTTATCACCTACATTACTTTTTATAGCCTGTAATATTCTGCTTTCCCAAAACATCTTTTTCATGTTGAAAGTTTGACAAAAGTTTATTTAAATGTGCATAGGGATTTGGTCTAGTGTGCAAGTAACTCTTTTCTTTGGCTTGTATTTTATGTATTTGGGCTGATGTGTACTGCAGTCATTGCTGCTGCCCAGGAGTAATGGAGCTTAATTTTGTATGTTTGTATTTGCTTTTTGTATTACACATGTTACACAACGCTTTTATCATTAAGGGATAACACGTGTGTAGAGGTTTATAGAACTCCCCCTCTCTGTCTCTTTAGAGAGTTTACCTTTTAGCTGAAAGCAGCAAGGTTAATTGTTAGCGCAGGACTCACCTAAGAAGTTTTGCCTTGATGTGGCAGATGAGCTTACACTTTAATGGCCATTGGAGTAATACTAAAAAAACCTCCAGTTATTTAAATGTGCATGGGATGTTGCTCGAGTAACTTTTTTCCTTGCGGTTTAGAACATTCTCCTTTTATAGCAACTCATACTCTGCAGCCACTTTATAACATCAGTGTCAATTTGGGTGGCAAATTATAATTTAGTTTTAGTCATAGTCTTTTTGACTAAAAAGCCATTTTAGTTTTAGTTTTATTATGGCACTTGCATTATTTTAGTTTAGTTTTAGTTGATTAAATCGCCAGTAGATTTTAGTCAACACAACGAAAATCGAATGGGTTATTTAAAGCCTCTCTCTGTCTCTTTTGCCCCTTCCCCAGCCCCTCTGTGTCTCTTTGTGTCCTCCCAGCCTCTCTAGGTGTCTCTCTCCCAAGGCCTGGTCTGTCTCTTTTGCGCCTTCCACACCCCATCTGTGCAGTGTTAATTTTGCTGGCAAACTTCCATTTAGTTTTAGTCATAGTATTTTGACTAAAATGCAATTTTAGTTTCAGTCGTATTTTAGTCATCTGATTTGTTTTAATTTTAGTCTAGTTTTAGTCGACTAAATCTCAAAAATGATAGTCAACTAAAATTGTTAGTCGACAAAATTAACATTGGTTAACTCAGAGCATTCTGTTGAAACAGGAAAGCATTACTCAAATGATTACCACCACAACCAGACTGTTGGCATAATGGGCCTATGTAGTTTAAGTTTTCTATGAGAATAATGGCTTGTTAGCAGATCCTCAGCCACTGGCCTTAAGTAGCAGAACCTAGTGACTATCAATTACTACTTGGGAAACATGACTGTTGATAAGTAGCCCCTACTCATTTTTAGTAACGACAAGTATTTTAGCAAGTAGTGGCTGGTCAGTAAAAAGTAGCGACAACACTTGATATAAGTCCTTAGAGTTTAGTGGATAATCCTGTGCCTATACAGTCTAACACATAAATGGTACGTTTACATTACATGTATCAAGAGCAAAAATATATTTTTAAATGGTTCAGTTAATCTGTATTAACAAATAATACCAATGTGTCTGTGTACATACTACAGCCACCCTGTTCAATGTCAAAACTGCAGGAGGTGCTGCTAAAACTCCTTAAAATAAACCTTTATACTTAGCGTAGATAAAAAAAAAAATAAAGAATTCTTTGTTTTACTGAGTAATCGCTGCAAAAATAAAAATTGTGCAAGTTATGGTGCCTGTCTTTAATAATAAATTACCTTGATTTTCTATTTTTCTTTGCATGGCAATGTGCATCGTCAAAGCTATTTCTGGCACTGATATACTTTATCTTAATTCCTTGAATCCATTTAAGTACATTAAAGTGAAATGCAATTGTACAAATTCTGCTTGTTTTTACATTTCTATCAGTGTTAGTGTCAGTCATGGAGTTTCCAGCCTAAACCATTCTCACAGTCTCAGTCCTCCTCTCTGTGCATTCCACATTTTTAAATAGGACTTTGAGAAATGACTCACCTGTGGGTATCTGAGATTTGAGAAAAAGAGAATGGGTCAGTATTTTGCAATCTGCTATTTTGCAATTTAAAAAAAATAAAAGCAACAAAATATAGCATAAAGGTAAAACTGGTCATAAATAGTATATTTAAAAAAACTTTTCTAAAAGTTCAATATTTAATATTAAAACTACACAAATGAACACAATTTTTTTTATATCTTCTTTATTGAGATATTGATGTATACAATAATGACATCATTACAATAAATACTTTAGCATTGTTTTCACATATGTCATATGTCTTACATCAGGTAATTTGTTATAAATGGAAAAAGAACATATTATTGTAGTATTTTAATATTTAAAGGACCACCATAGTGCCAGGAAAACATACTCGTTTTCCTGTCACTATAGTGCCCTGAGGGTGCCCCCACCCTTAGGGTCCCACTCCCGCCTGGCTCTGGGGGGAGGAAGGGGTAAAACGTACCTCTTTCTCCAGCGCCAGGCGGGGAGCTCTCCTCCTTCTCTCCTCCCTCTTCTTCTGTCACCGGCTGAGGGCGCATGCGCGGCAAGAGCCGCGTGCGCATTCAGCCAGTCCATAGGAAAGCATCCTCAATGCTTTCCTATGGACGCTGGCGTCTTCTCACTGTGATTTTCACAGTGAGAAGCGTGGAAGCGCCTCTAGCGGCTGCCAATGAGACAGCCACTAGAGGCTGGATTAACCCATAGGTAAATATACTATGTTTATTAAAAAAAAGGGTTAAACCTAGCTGGACCTGGCACCCAGACCACTTCATTAAGCTGAAGTGGTCTGGGTGCCTAAAGCGGTCCTTTAATACTAACATAATTGAACTGGATATGTGTTAATTCTTGTGGCTTAACTCATCAACATAATGTGCTTTTAAATATTTGTTTTCCCTTTTTCCAGGTCATGGATAGTCCTAGTAACTGCTTCTCATGAAGGGATGTTGGCTCAACTGAAGGTTGAGGAGGTTAGGACCTTGCATAAGATATGTGCCACAGTTATAATAAGTGCACTGTATATGCTTCTACATATTTGAATGATCATAGAACCTAGTGAAAATACAGTTTTGATCTTGCAGGAATTACAGTCAATGAGGTCCAATTTTTTGGGACCAGCATAATTTTTTTCCCCACGAATAGCATTGCATCTTGGGCTTTTTTCTTTTTCATATATTTTTCTGGTGTGTATTTTTTGACTAAGTATCTGAAAAGACAATCTCACAGGAGGGAGGATTATAGAAATTACTGTGTTTTAAAAGCAGATAGTAAATTGCACTTATTAATTCGCATCAGCCCCCATCACGAGTCACATTTGTTTCTGCTGAGGAGCTGGAGGCCCATTTAATAGAAATAACATCTCTAGAGGTTTCCCATTTTTCCAAGTTTATTTTAATGTTATTGTGCTCCAAAACGTGGCTGTAAAACGGTTTACTTGGAGAAAGCAAAATCTCCTCATGAATAATTTCTTCTTTTTGGCATTGGTTTTTGGTTAATGGTCTTCACATTTTTATGTGTTCTCCAGTTATGTTATAAAATTAACGTGACTCCACATCTCATTTTAGTTCTCTCTTTTCTCATATGAGTTATCAGATGCACGTACCATATCTAAACCCTTCCATCACCTGAAGGTGCTAGAGTTTGGGACAAGTGCTATGGAGGTAGTGATGATGCAAGCTATTCTTTGCACCTGGAGGCACTGCACTGGGCTGCTGAAAATAACATAGTAAAAAAAATAATACCAATTTTACATATCAATAACATACAAAAATAACCACTAGAAGCAAATGTATAGCAATTTTACATATCAGTACAACTTTTTAATTAACTATGGAATAGAGAAACAGAGGAAGTAAACAAGCATCAATAAGGTGACGTTACACTAAAATAGATAAGGGGCATAATTATGTAGAATAAGAAGTAAAGAAAGAATCTGTCTTGGCATAAAATTAAAAGTCTTCCATTTACTAAATGGCAATCATAGAACATCTAAATGTTCTTTCAAAAATCAAGCAATAAATACATTACTGCTCACAAATGTGGACTATCGCAGATGTTCATGAAATATGGCACAAAAGTGACCCAGATGATACACCAGATAAATAGATTTAATACCTCATGCAACTTATAAAACATAATATAAAATGCAACCCTTGGGCTAGTATGTAAATTAATAAAATAAAATAATAAAAAGGCTGTGGGGAGAAAGGCATATTAAAACTCTGTTCATGATGTTTTAAACTGGAGAACAGCTGTTTTAGTCTACCATATACCTAGTAATTTCTCTTCAATCACGTTAGAC